ATTTTGAAATCTAGGTTTATGAAATCTAGTCATGTGAAGTTTAATTTCTGTGTTTTAGAAAGAGTTAGAAATTCTTCCTTATTGATTTGTGTGGTCTGAAAAGAATTCAACTACATTTATGCCACCTCTACTATCTCATCAACTCTTCAGCTAATTTGATTATCATCTTTATATCTTCATTAGAAACATAACTGATATAAGTACATCTAGAAATTCATATAACTTCTCAAAAATCTATATTGGCAAAACTCTTTTACAAATCTGCACTTCAAAGCATCAATTTGTTGCATTTATTAAACACCAACTGTATATGTAGCACTGTGCTAAATACTGTGAGAGAGAAAAGAAATATAAAATGTGTCCACTATCCTTAAATAATTTAAAGCCTAGCCAAATAAACTTAACACACGAAGTGATTAGAGAACATATAATATGAAATATGATAACATGATTGGTTGTGTGATGGAGAATATAATACTCTAAGTAAAGGTTAAGCTGCATATTAAAGATTGGATGAGTCTTAAAGTGAAAAAGGGATGAGGGCATTCCAGGCCCAGGGAAGATCCTGAGATAGAATCAGCATAGTATGCATATCTGCCAGCAGAGGGCCCAGCCTGCCCCAGAAAGCGGGGAATACTGCTGGACAACTAAGGAAAAAAAGTATTTAAATTTTCAATTTAGCCACAATAAATTTGCCTAAGAGTAAAGCTTGACTTTTGGCTTTATATTCATTTATGTGATTTACCCTATGCTTTTTTTAGATTTCTTCTTCTACTGGCCTTTTCCTCTTAAATGGAAATTGAGAACTTCAATACTGTATCTAAAATCAAGATTCTAGATCTTCTTTCCCTGAATTTCACCATCCTAGGGCAAGAAGAAGCTGTTGCTTTCTGTATCATTCTCCCATCTCAAATTAACTGCAGCCAAATTAAAATGTCACACTCCATTTTGTTCAATATCCAGATTTAATAAATACAGACAACCAAGCATCAAGCCAATCAGTGTATACTAAGCCTTTATTATATGTTTTGCACTTGTATGCCATTTTTGAGTCATTATTTAGTTAATACTGCCAAGAATATGGAAGAAGGTATTATACACTGTATGATATATTTATCCGTGTGATCAAATATGGAAGACCAAGGGGGAAAAAAAGAATAGAGGTAGGCAAGACCAAAGGTGGAAAACATATTTAGTTAATACTGCCAAGAATATGGAAGAAGGTATTATACACTGTATGATATATTTATCCGTGTGATTAAATATGGAAGACCAAGGGGGAAAAAAAGAATAGAGGTAGGCAAGACCAAAGGTGGAAAACAAAGAAAACACATGGTAAATCGATTACAAATACAACAAAGTAAGGGGGAGAGGAAAGGTTAAACAAAACTTACTGCTCACTTCTATTTGCCAACTCTAAGCTAGGAGTTTTAACATATGTTATGCTAGACAAAGAGTAGGCCTGGTTGACTTAAAATCTCAGAAATAAGCTTTTTTTCCTTTGACTTCAACCTTAGGTTCCCTTTCTCTATTGCGGTAGCAGCCAAGATGTAGTTTGAACAGTGGAAGGGTAATGGGGTTAAAAAAGGAAATTTTCCCTTTTCTTTGTCCTCCGCTTCTGTTTCCTCACCAGAAGAATATACAGTTCAATGTGCTTACAGTGGGATCCTCACTAAATCTGATGTCCCACCAATAAGTTCCATTGTCTTTACCCATAGTAGTAGTCCCCAAAACTTTACCTACTTTTTCTACAGGGACTTAATTCCTCTATCCTCTATAAAAGAATTTATAGAGACAAAGTCAAGGATTAATTTCCTTTGTAGGACCATTTGTCAGCTCTGTGAAGCCCATTTGAGAAATGAGTTTTTCTTAGAATAGACAAAATGGCATACACAGTATCATGCAGAAGACCTTTGTCCCAGTTCAAATCCAGGCTCTACTACTTATTAAGTTTGTGACTTGGAATTATGACTTTACCTCTCTGAACCTCCATTTCCTTATCTGTAAAACAAAAATGATGATAATAATAATTTAAAGTAATGCATAATGATAAAAAATAAGGTTAGCCTTTAAATGAGGGATAATATAGATAAAATGTTTAGCATAGTAGTACATTGCAGACATAATCAATGTTCTGTAGCTGATGGCCATTATCATCACTGTCATTGTCATCCTCATCACTTTAGTCATATAGATAAGAGAGTCTACCTGGATCCGTGAAAATTCATCTTTCCTGCCTCAATAGTGTCATCCTCCTAGATCAAAGGCCACAGAATTCTAGAGAAAAGATGTATGTTCATGATTAGCTGATAATCATACTCTCTTCCCAGTCACTAAGACTCTTTTTTGATTCACAAAAGAAATTCTTGATTGAGGAGGGTCAGAAACTTGAACCTGAGTCAGATCATAGCTTCCATGCAGAGTTCTCGTCACGATTTTGGGATACAAGTCTGAAAGTTTAATCCATACAAAGAAGATGACCTGAGTAATGAATATGGAAAAAAAAAGTGAAGCCTTTAATTATATAACATTTTGTGTTTGTGTAACAATTTGGCTTGCTTTTTTGTGTTTCTATTTTACTTCTGTTTTTGTTTTTACTAAAAAAAAACTTCTATACTTACAATTATGTGTCATAAGAATACTTTCTTTTTAAATTATTGTTTCAATAAATAAGTTACCTTTAGATTCACAGAATGTTAGTACTAGACAGGAATTAGCACTAATTCCTACTATCTATTACCTTCATCTTACCGATGAATTGAATAAGGTCCAGACAGGAACACTGACTTGCCCAAGGTAACATGATTAATAAATGATAAAACAGGAATAGAATGAAAATATGACATATTGTAACTGAAATTTCTTTGACAGGTCAACATATTTTATGCCTTCTGTGGTACTGTTCTTCAAATTTGCATCTTCTTATAAGTTTCTCCAAAGATATGTAAATGCTTTTATTCTCTATGCTGTCACCTTAAACCTTTATCATAGTTTTTGCGCTAAACCTCTGAAATAATTTTCAAAATCCGTGAAAGCACAAATTTCCCTCTTCAGCTCCAGAATTTTGTCAATCCCACTCTTTCTCCCAGTTTAGGTAAACCCAGGTTTTTCACAGGAACATTCCCATACAAATGTAACCAAATCAAGCCTAAAGGATAGAACTCAAGCCAAGAGTTAGAGAAACAGATGTGTTTTTCTGCAATACCCAAAGATCTGAGCCTGTCACTATGGGGGATTCTTGGGCAATGTATCATATTTATAGTAAGTTTCAGTCTGTTCATTATACCAGCCAATTAGTTATAAGGTAGGTCGTTTTAAATTTATGATATTTTTATTTTCAAGTATACTTCTCTGATTTAACAAAATATTTATAAATGTGTTACATTAATGTTCCAAACTAACAAGATACTAAAAAATGAAAAAACTGAAAATTATTATTTGAATTCAAATTCATCTAAAGTTTAAGGGGAAAGAAAGAGACATAAAGATAGCTGCCATGCATAAATTTATGTTATTACTTACTTATGGGCATAGATAAGGCATTTTTATACCTAGAAGAAAGTGAGAATTTGACATTTTGCCTTCCCTAATGCTCTCCCACTACCTGGTTAACTAAGAATAATAATTTGAATTATAGAAGTTTAAAATCCATGGGGGTTTTTTTGCATGTTCATTTATCATTATAAAGTTATATTCTTGTACCAATGGTGCACATTATATTCAACGAATAGACGTAGAATGAAGATTTAGCAGGCTAGATTGGTAACGAAAAAATTAGAAACCTTAGCAAGAAAGCATGGTTAGAACTAGAGAAACTGAGGAGATGCTCACTTGGGAAACAGTAAGGATTAAGAGGAAGAGTGGCAGAAAGAGCAAGACTTACAGGACATAACAGCACATTAATGTGGCTAAGGATGAAAAAAAAATCTAGTTGGTCAGTGAGACACTTTCCTCTTAAACTCTCAAATAGTTCACCTCTTGGAACTCTTACATGTGTATATATCATATATATGTATGAATCACACTACTCATATATGGCTTATCATATTTCAGTCCCGTGTTATAATGAGTTATATCTCACCTTTCCAACTAGGTTGCAAGCTCCCAGAGGGCATGCGCCACATTTTATCTTTCTTTGGAAATTCCACACTTTTTTGCACGGTGCTAGGAATATAAACAGCATTCAAAAAAATGTCTGATAAATAAATGGACTCACTTAAATTACAAAAAAAAAATTTAGTGCGTAACTCAGAGATACATATGGTTCATTTCTCTCACTGCCCCACTTTGAATTAAATTCTAGAGCCACATCTTTTGAATCTGAGCCAAATAAAAATATTGCCATCTTGGTTAACCATTGTTTAAATGTTTATTTTCCTTGTCCTGTATTATTATATCTCTCAGGATTCTTTTGTTCATCCAGCTAATGAAATGAGGATTGGGGAACTTCACCCTTCATTAGCTGAAACCCCTCTGTACCCACCCAAACTTGTTCTGCTAGGGAAGGACAAAAAAGGTAACATTGTGAATCTGATATGGAAAATGTCCTGCAAATGCATGTGCATGATGAGTCACCAGTTGTAAATTATGATACAACCTAGTCTATAAAAATATTTTACAGATATGTATTTCTAACATTAATTAGTATGGTATCTGTTTTTCATACTTGTTTTTTTGTATCTGTAATTGTTCATAGCATCCTAACATCTTTCCGCTTTAAATTCCAGAATCAACTGATGAGTCTGAAGCTGACAAAACTCACTGTCTGAATAACAGTGTTTCCTCAGGCACTTACTCAGACTATTCGCCTTCCCAGGCCTCCTCAGGATCCTCTAACAACCGAGTTAAAGTGGGGTCCTTGCAGACAACAGCTAAAGATGCAGTACATAATTCTTTATGGGGTAACAGGTGTGTGTAGAATTCTCTCTTTTCTGTACCCCAATGCTTATTTTCAGCAAGTTTTTAAAAAACGAAATCTTCTTAATTTGGAATTGTATTCAGCACATAAGTGGCACAGAAGACAGAAGGGGCAAGTAAGTAAACGCAGTTCACCTAGGACTTCCAAGAGCAGATAAGTCCATCTTACAAGAGGAGGCTGTTGATTAAGGGAGAGATAGCAGGAGATTTACAGGATGAGATGACAGAAAAAAAAAATTTTAATCAGAAATATTGTTTTTGCAGTACTTATTTATGAGGCATGTAGACATTTCACCATCCTTTCTTTGCAGATGAAAAAACAAAAGCCACAGAGCCCAGTAATGACTTGATAAAGTAGTATTTGCCCAGTTCTAATGTCCATGCTTTCTAACTTGTTGCTATGTTCTACACTACAAATAGCAAATAAAAATTGTCATGTAATATACATAGTCGATAACTTTTACTCTTATTTTACTGATAATATTGCCACTATTGGAAATGTCTTCTTACTAATTCATAAATAACTATTTCTGTACATTGATGCCCATGATAAAAATCTTAATTCTTTCAGTTTATAAATTCATTACTTTTTATATGAGCTGAGATTAATTTAGGTACTTTTGGAAGATATCTTGAAAATGTATTTTTATTTTAATTAGGAAAAGCACATAAAAGCCTTTCCCTCACTAACAAAACATATATAATTCAATATTATTAGTGTAAAAATGGTTTAGAATAAGCTTAGATAAATAAGCATCTGCTAGAGACTATGGTTACTGGTATAAGCATGCCAATGACCTAAACTCATATATAACTTGTATATATATAATTATTATTATTTATCACTTGTATATATAACTTAATATATAAGTAGCATTCTAGAAAAAGATACTTGAATGTGCTCTCTATATAGTGGCATCTGGTCTTCAAATAAATGTTATTTGGATTCAGTTTGGATTCATTACATATGCCCAGCATTTTTGAGAAAGATACTTTCAACCAATAGTTTGGCAATGTACTGAATTAGAATCTCCAGGGATGGGTACCGGGAATTAGGTAATTTCAATTATCAGTCAGGTCTCAGGACCATTACTGAAGACCTATATATTTCATTCATTCATTCATTCCACAAATATGTTTTTAATATGTGCCAGGCACTATTCTAGGCCTGAAGAGAAAAAGATTTCTGCCCTCATGAGTTTACAGTCTAGCAAAGGACACGAGACAATATACAATAAATATAATAGATAAGTAAATTGTATAATATGTTTGAAGGTGATTATTACTAAGAAGTAAAAGTTAGACCAGGCTAAACAGTGGCTTTTTGGTGGGGACATGCAATCCTAACTCTGTCTTAATCATCAGTCAGGTAAGGATGAATGATCAGTTACATGAAGGATGGTGGCCTTCGTCACTGCTTGTTTTCTTCCTGGCAAAGATCCAACTTTCCCTCATTTTCATTTTTCTTCTTCCCATTGTCTTCACAGGATTGCACAATCTTTCCCACAGCCTCTTGATTCAAAGCCATTACTTAGTCAGCGGGAGGCTGTTCCCCAAGGGAATCTACCGCAGCTTCCTGACCGGCTGCCCATGAGTGATGCTTTCACTGACAACTGGACTGATGGCTCACATTATGATAACACAGGGTTTGTAGCTGAGGAAACCACAGCCGAGAATGCCAACAATAATCCTCTCCTAAGTTCAAAATCTAGAAGCACAGCTTCCCATGGACGCAGGCCTTTGATCAGGCAGGATAGGATTGTTGGTGTTCCCCTGGAACTTGAGCAGTCGACACACAGACACACACCAGAAACAGAAGTGCCTCCTTCCAATCCTTGGCAGAATTGGACCAGAACCCCTAGTCCTTTTGAAGACAGGACCGCCTTTCCTTCCAAGTTAGAGACAACCCCCACTACCAGCCCCTTGACTGAAAGGAAAGAACATATAAAAGAATCTGCCGAAATACCTAGTCCTTTTTCTCCAGGAGTACCATGGGAGTATCATGATTCCAATCCCAACAGGAGTCTTAGTAATGTCTTTTCTCAAATCCACTGCCGCCCAGAAACTTCTAAAGGTGTTATCTCAATTAGCAAAAGCACAGAGAGGCTTTCCCCGCTAATGAAAGATATAAAATCCAATAAATTCAAAAAGTCACAGAGTATTGATGAGATTGACATTGGTACCTACAAGGTTTATAATATACCATTAGAAAACTATGCTTCTGGGAGTGATCACTTAGGAAGCCACGAACGACCAGATAAAATGTTGGGACCAGAGCATGGTATGTCCAGTATGTCTCGAAGCCAGTCAGTCCCGATGTTGGATGATGAGATGCTCACTTATGGAAGCAGTAAAGGGCCACAACAACAAAAAGCTTCTATGACAAAAAAAGTCTATCAGTTTGACCAAAGCTTCAATCCTCAAGGTGCAGTGGAAGTTAAAGCCGAAAAGAGGATACCGCCCCCTTTTCAACACAATTCTGAGTATGTTCAACAGCCGAGCAAAAACATGGCCAAGGATTTGATTAGTCCTAGAGCTTACAGGGGATACCCACCAATGGAGCAAATGTTTTCATTTTCCCAGCCATCCGTTAATGAGGATGCTGTGGTGAATGCCCAATTTGCAAGCCAAGGTGCCAGGGCGGGCTTCTTGAGAAGAGCCGACTCCCTGGCCAGCTCCACCGAAATGGCCATGTTTAGGAGGGTCAGTGAGCCCCACGAGCTGCCTCCGAGTGATAGGTACGGCAGGCCTCCATATAGGGGAGGGCTGGATCGCCAGAGCAGCGTTTCAGTGACTGAGTCCCAGTTCCTGAAGAGGAATGGCAGGTATGAAGATGAACACCCTTCATATCAAGAAGTGAAAGCTCAGGCGGGAAGTTTTCCAGTTAAAAACCTTACCCAAAGGAGGCCATTGTCTGCAAGAAGCTACAGTACAGAGAGTTACGGTGCCTCCCAAACCAGGCCAGTTTCAGCTAGGCCTACTATGGCAGCTCTTTTGGAAAAAATACCATCTGACTATAACTTGGGTAACTATGGTGACAAGCCATCAGATAACAGTGATATAAAGACGAGGCCTACTCCTGTGAAGGGAGAGGAGAGCTGTGGTAAAATGCCTGCAGACTGGAGACAACAGCTGCTTAGACATATAGAAGCTAGAAGGTTAGACAGGGTATGTTTGGCATTTCTCTATAAGAATATCCCTCCTGCCTTTAGTCTTCCTTTATTGGCATTTCTAAGCACGTGTAGTGAAGCATGAACTACATGAATGAATAGATGATCAGTATTTTATTTATCTTTATATTGTGGGGAAAATTGATCATAATAGTTTTTCATGGATATATTGCTTAAAGCTCTTTGAGAGTCCATAACCTCTAGGTGAATTATTTATCAAACCTAGCCTAAATATTGTCAGTAAGAAAGAATTTGACTCTATTATATGGGATGGTGCTTCCATTGCTTAATATCAAGTAAGGCAAAATGCCTCTCCTAGGACACAAAACTATTCTCTAGTTGACCTAAAGTGTATGATTTTTATTGAATCTATAAAAAGTGAGTATTTCACACCTTTCTACACAGACTCACATATTAAAGTCAGGCCTAATTTGTTTATAAAATTTGCACATAGTTGCTGCTATGGGACTACTAAAGTTATTACTTCTAATGAGCAATAATTTTCCCAGCAAGAAACAGAAAAATAAAATAAGCAGAGATTGAATGCCCTCCTACACATTATTTCATTTAATAAAAATTCTGCCATTTAGAATGTTGGTTTTTATATAGAAAGAAATGTTTAAATTCAAATCGTATTAGAGACAACAAAAATAGAAGATGTCTTTATGAAGACTACAGATGTACAAATTAGCATGTATATTGCAGGAAGAAAAGGTAATTAATCCAATTCAGTTAAAAATTGAGTCATAATAAAGCGTGGAATGCACCGTGATTGGGGAGAGAAAAAAAATGATACTATAAATCCTAGAATTACTTTTTTGTAAGAGAAATCTGGAATTTCATTTTCTAGAATTATTATCAATTGACCATTATCATTCAATGTACTTTGGTGTAGAGGGCTTTGTGATGACATTAGAATCTTAAAGATCCTGTTTGAGAAAGTGGGGCCTTTTGTCTTCATTTTCTAGGTTTGAAAACCCAGTATAAATTGGGGATCTGGGTAATAATATACTATCAAAATGTTTCACTCAATAGTTTTACTTGGTGTCCTGCTGTAAACACAGGTCACTGTATTTATTATGTATTTCTTTAATATTGAATTTTGTGTTTTCAGGTTTACTCTTTTTAAATAATTATATTGTTTGTAGGTCGTGTCTACATGACAAGAAAACAATTATTTTTAGGGTGAGAGTGAGCTAATAAATGTGGGTGTGGGTGTTAGTTCTCAATGTGGAAATTGGTTCTGCCTTGCAAAATATTTCATCAGAATGTCTGTTTCAAATAGGTGTGCTCAGTCCCATTGAAGGGAGCCTCATCAAAGCCTCATGACTGGCTGTCAGTGGGAGACACCTGGTCGGTTGTCACCATGCCTTACCTCAAGTTACACCCTCCATGTAGACAGATAACTTGGAGGGCGAAAATATTTGGGGCCAAATAATACAGTACAGTTTGGGAACTCTGGCCTCGTGTAGACACGACCATACGTAACAGGGTAAGATAAACTAGTCAAGAAAGGTTATAAGTAGCGTTTTGGAGCATATGTACAATGACTAGTAATTTGAGGCAACAGAGGAGTGAGTGGAAATGAAGCGTGACAAAGAAAAGATAAAATTGTAAGCATTTGGTACCATCATCAATTTCCTGGAGTTCGAGACAAATGGTTCTTTTCCTTTGATCTGAGCTACTGAAAAGTAGGTGACTCCTCTTGTTGGAGTAGGAATTTTAGAGGAGAGTATAGGGCTGGGGGAGGGGAATTTGGATCAGCAAAATTCTGGAGGCCTTGCCTGTCCCAGACAACTAACAGTGTTCATGTGTATTTTCCATTGCTGTGATGACACCTCCCTTTTCAATTAGTCTCCACATATCCTCTGTTTGTTTATAATTCCCTGGGTCTGTCTTTCATTTTTCAGAGCAATTTCAATGTATATTCAATAGCTTCTCATTTAATTCCAAGAAATTAAATTGCCTTAGAGTATTGCTCCAAGCCATTGGATCCTGGAAGCTCTTCCTCTTATTTTCTCCACATAACATTTCTTTCCCTCTTTCAACTGAGTTACTGAGCTAGTCAGGCTGTATCTTACTTAAAACTTTCCAGATATTCAACAAGATGAATTCAGGGTACTGAAGCACAGAATTATTATGTAAAACTAGTTTTGACATAGCTGTGCTACTTAACTTTTTGTCCGAAGTCAGACTGCACCAGAGACCTAGTGCTTCTTTCCCAGTAAAATTTAGTTGAACTCTCTGAAACCTGGAAATTAAAGTTACACTAGAAACTACAAGATCTTTGTCCATTCCACATAAAAGACAACTGCCTAGAGGCCTGGACATTGGATAAGCTTAACAGTCCAACACTATGTTGACAAAAGATCTCAGTGCTGACCTTGAAGAGATAGCTCTAAGTACTACCCTAGATAAAAGATGCTTGTTTTCTCCTTTACTTTAACCATAGGCTCATGGTTCCACTACAGAGCCCCACTGTGACAGAGAATTTAAAACATGAATCCAAATGTCTAAGACTGCTACTGTTCTATAGGAGCTGAGAGAGCACTAGACTGCATTAATTTTAAACCTTAAGGAATCATCCATGTGCTAGATTGAGATGTTTGGTGTCATTTTCAATTATGGCATGGTGACAAAGAAAAATCTCTGTGTGAGATAACCATGAATTCATAACAAATATAATTAGTAGACAAGCACACCATCAGGAGTATAATAGTCTTCCAGTTTAGCTCAGTGAAACTTGAATGCTAAAAATCATTAGTTTTTAAATAATGCCCTCAGAATAGAATAGCTGCCTGCTGTTAAAGTTCAATAATATTTAGTTAAGAAAAAATGTACTAAGTTAACTTATGTGGATTTTTTTTTCCAAAATAAGAGAATTATTTAAAGGGCCCAAATGCTGTCAATGATTACATTTCCATTGTAGGCTGAAGGTGGAGATTGTACAGGTAGAAATGATATGATGATGGGGTATCTAAAACGTTTTAATTTTTAAATGAAGCTCTGTAGAAAAAATGATCTATCACTACTTGGAATAATTTTAGGTGCACCTGTTGAAGGAGAGTCACAATGTAAATATCACCAGAGTATTCCATAGATATTTAGATATATTAAATAAATAGCATTAATAATTCAACAAATTATAATTGCTTTAGTATCATTATGAAATTTCTCTAGTTTAAAATGTAATTTTTAAGAAACAAAAAATTAGCATATTGGAATTCATGTATAACTTATCTGATTGGTTTAACTGAATTAACAAGTAAATTCAATCAAGCCAATGGTCAGATAGAAAGATTTTTTTGATCAGCTGTTTTTCTGAGTTACTGTAATTATGCCTATAGACAAAGGAATTAAGGGACTGATTTTGGCTTTAACATTATAAGGCATTAGCTTAAAACAGAATTATGTGATGATCTCACAATATAAAAGAGGCCATGACGTTTGCAGCTGGTAAAATTTAATTAAGATCTCACTGTTAGAATTTTTTAAATTAATAGACTACCACAGAAGGACAATACTAGTCCAAAGTCACTATTACCATAATATATAAGACATAGACTTTATGCCTTTGAGTTAGCAGCAAATATAAAACAAATTGTATTTTCTTTGCTTTTTGTCTTTTCTGTAGTTTTGAATGGTATTCATTATGTGCATAACTAACACCGTTTATTGTATGCTTCTGTCTGATCGAGTGCATGTTTGAAAAAAAGTTACTGTTTGCCCGCTTAAAGTTAAATGTTATAAATTTAAACATGTTCATGTAATAATCAGTTTGTTGAGCATGTGTTCACACCCTGTCACATGATTATTTCCTCTACTCAGAATGCTGCTTACAAACACAACACAGTTAACCTTGGCATGCTGCCCTATGGAGGTATTTCAGCAATGCATGCAGGCAGAAGCATGACTTTAAACTTGCAGACTAAGTCTAAATTTGATCATCAAGAACTACCTCTTCAGAAAGTAAGTATGGACTGCCCTACATGTGTCAGCATACCAAAGCCAATTAATGTTGTTTGTTCACTTAATGTGTTTAGGCTGTACATACAACTCTGCTTATTATAGACTCTCATGAGTCCAAAAAGCACAAGGGCAAATAATTTAGAGCCCGAACTCTCAGCTCCTAAATGAGTATTTGTAACTAGACTGATTATCAGGTTCATGCTTTTTGGATTGAGCTTGCTTTTTGGATTGAGCAGGTACATGGCTTTTTGTGTTGCTTTAAAGCTCATTTTTCTTATGATTCATTTCCTTTCTCTTTTCTTCCTTGTTTTTCTTTCTTTTGAATTGAAATTAAATGGTTGGCACTTCTCAATACTTCTTCAGCCCACTTCCTTTGTGGGAAATGTAACATGGAAGTAAAATAGGAGAAGTTTGTGTCTTAGCTAGCAAATTATTAATCTCCCTAGGTTAATGGACAAGTAGCAAATTCACATGGTTTTAAATGAAAATTCAGGCATATTTGAAAGAGAATATACTGTAAGAGGAAACATTTCCATTGTCAAAAGAACGTTTCTGTTTGTTTTATTTAAGCAAAACTGAGAATGCACATTTTACCTATTTGAGTTGATTCATGCCTCTCTCTTAATTACCTATCAGTGGAGGCTAACGAGTCATTTTCACACAATATGTCATTATGGCTATATATTATTATAGTCATTAGCCTAGTAAGTTTTTATGAACAAAGCAATGCAAAGTAGGGATAACAGAATGACAGTAGCCTCTAAACACTTCTATTCTCTTAATAAAATTAATAAACATATGGGACAAACTCACATCCCAGCAAAATGAGGGTCATAAGACCTCAAATTCATGTTTTATTGTCAAATTTGTCTTTCGTAACTTTCCCTAACTCTGGATAGTTTGATTCCTACAGTGAGTAGAGCAACAAAATTAAAAAGACATTTATATACACAGATTTTTGGTCACCCAGCCTTACTTTAAAAAGTATAACTAACTAAAAGGAGAACTTTTGGACAGTTTTTTCTGTTC